CTGTTTGTTAAAAAATTAAATTATGAATGACTGCCTAAGCAATCCTACACAGGAGAGGAAGGAAAGAGGCGTCTCCCTGGCACAGTGCCATTTGGAAGGGCTGGAGCCTGGCATTCATAGATCGTAGAGGCGCCCATTCATCCATGTATAAGTCATAAAAAGAGAGCGGAGAGAACACAAGGTTTTTTCCAGTCACGCCATTTTCTCTCGGTCTGTCTCTCTCTCTCTCTCTCTTTCTGTCTGTCTCTGTCTCTCCCACCCCTCTCTCTCTCTTTCTTCTGTCTCTCTGTCTCTCTCTCTTTCTTTCTGTCTCTCTCTGTTCTCTCTCTCTCTCTCTCTCTTCTCTCTCTCTCTCTCTCTCTCTCTCTCTCTCTCTCTCTCTCTCTCTCTCTCTCTCTCTCTCTCTCTCTCTCTCTCTCTCTCTCACTCTCTCTCTCTCTCCTCTCCCACTCTCCCTTTCCATCCATCCATCCATCCTTCCTCCCTCCCTCCCTCCCTCCCTCTTCCCTCCTTCCCACACTCCTCCATCCATCCTTCCTTCTCTCCTTCCCTCTCTCACTTACCCTCTCTTTCGTTCCCTCTCTCCTATTCTCTCTTTCTTCCCCATGTCATAAAAAGGAGGGTAAGAAAGCTCGAGGTTCTTCCAGTCACGCTATCTTGCGCTAACACTCGCCTGTGTGTTCGTGTGTGCGTTGGTTTTCTTTTGTTAGCGTGATGGGTCGACCAGGAGCAGGACTTGCTTGCCGTTGTTTGTTTTTATTTTGTATTGTTTTGTTTTGTTTTTGTTTTTTCGTTTTTGTTTGTTTGTTCTTTTTCTGTACTGATTTTTTTACGTTTGTTTGTTTTGCGTTTTCTTTGTTTGTTACTTTTCTGTAGTGGTTTCTTTTACGTTTTGTTTGTGTATTTGATAATTTATTTAGTAGATTATATTGATTTTTGTTTATTTTTTTACGATTTGTTGGTGTACTACTTGTTTTTTTATTGATTTACTTATCTTTACTTTTTTATTTTATTTAGTATCCTTTTTTGCTAATCAGGTTTTGTCTTTAAATATTGTTTGTTTTCCTACTTATTATTAGTTTTTCTCTGTATTTTTTTTGCTGTTTTACTTACATTGTTTGCATTTGACATATATTGTTTGTTTATTTTTACAGATTTCATGTGGTTTTCACTTATTTTGTTTTTTATTTTCTTATTTCTGCTTGTTTGTTTACTTTTTTACGTATTTCTTAGTTGTTTAGTTTTCTTAGGTAAAGTTTTTGTGAAGGGGAATTATTTGTACTTGTTTGTCTGTCTGTCTGTTTTCCTTTCTTTCTTCTCTTTCTTTCTTCCTCCTTGACCCTCCCTCCCTCATTTTCAATCTCTCCCTCCTTCTTTCCTCCTATCTCTGTTTTTCTCCCTCCTTCCCAACTTCTCCTTCTTACCCTCTCCGTTACCCCTCCTCTTTTCCTCTTTCCTTTCTCCCTCCCTCTCTCTGTCTCTCTCCTTTCCCTTCTCCCTCCTTCTCTCACTGTCCCCCGCCCCCCTCTACCATTATTTTTCCCTCCTCTTCCCCTCTCTTTCTGTATTCTTCCCCTTCCTATTTCTTTCTCCCTTCCTTTCTCTCCTTCCCTCGCTGTTTCCCCTTCCCCCCTATTCCTTTCTCCTTATCCTCCCCTCTCATTACTTCCTCACTCTCTCCCTGTCTCCCTCATTACCCCCTCCCCTCCTTTCTCCCTCTCTGTCTCATTACTTTCTCACTCTCTCCCTGTCCCTTCCCTGTCCCTTACCTTTCTCTCCTACCCCTTTCCCTCCTTTCCCTTTCTCCACCCTCCTCTCCCAATACTTCCTCACTCTCTTCCTATCCCTTCCCACTCCCTCCCTCCCTCCCTCACTCCCACCCCTCCCATTACTTCCTCACTCTCTCCCTATCCTTCCCACTCCTTCCCTCCCTCCCTCCCTCCCACCCTCTCCCACACCACCCCTCCCACCCCTCCCTCACTCTCTCCCTGTCCCTCCCCACTCCCTCCACCCACCACACCCCCTCCCACCCTCCCACCCGCCCCCCCCTATTCCAAAAAAGGTCACCACCAAGGTCCGGCACCCAGCGGAGGGCCACGGTAAAGCGGGTCGGTGGCACTCCTTTGACGGGTGCCGGTCACCTGTGCACATCAGGAGTGAAATAGACGTCGCTGCTTGGCACTGGCGGGGCGATCAATGTGGCCCTGATTGCTGGTGCTGCGGTGAACGAGGCGGGGGGTGCGGGGGTGGGGGGTGGGGGTGGGGGGGTGAAGGAGGGAGGGGGTGAGGGGGGGAGGGGGGAAGGGGGGGAGAGGGGTAAGGGGGGAGGGTGGGGGTGAGGGGGAGGTGGGGAGGTGGAGGGGAGAGGGAGGGGTGAGGGGGAGGAGGGGAGGAGGGAGGTGGGGGGGAGGGGGGGGTGGGGTGAGGGTGAAGGGGGGAGGGGGAGGTAGAGGGGAGGGGGTGATGGGGGAGAGGGGGGAGGGGAAGGTGGAGGGAAGGG